GCGCGCTTCAAAGAGCATTATGAATAATCTTCCGGTGTAGACGACCGCGAGGGAATAGGCCGATCTATAAAACTTGGGGAAGCACGGCCCCTTGGTCCCCACGTGTGCTCCCTGTTGCTTTTGGCCCTGGAGCCAAGATCCGTCGCTTGGAATCGCTTTGCATTGAACTCCTCCGCCCGCCGCCCTCAGAAGCCCATGCCGCCGAAAGAGAAACTGCGAGAGCAAATTGCCAGACCATGTCCTGGATTTCGGGCGAGGAAGACGGTTGAGCAAGACTGCGAACTTAAAGTACATGTGTGGGCATTTATGAAAATCCAGAGACCCGAGCGAGATTCCATGATCAGCCACGCATGCTTTAAAGGCCGCGCACATGTGCTGGGAAGAGTTACGACGTTCTAAGTCTAGGGTTATCGCGCTCATGTATACACGTGGACATGAACACTGGTTGGCGCTGTGGGACAGCACGGCACACGTTTGGATAATCGGAAGATGTGGCGCCATGCTGAAATGTGTCGCCCAGTTGCGGTTGCGGTTGCGCGCCCGCGGGCGGGTCGAAATGTTTCGCCCAGTTGCGGTTGCGCTTGCGCGCCCGCGGGCAGGTTGAAATGTGTCGCCCAGGTGCGGTTGCGGTTGCGCGCCCGCGGGCGGGTCGAAATGTGTCGCCCAGTTGCGGTTGCGGTTGCGCGCCCGCGGGCAGGTTGAAATGCGTCGCCCTGTTACTAGTTGCGGTTGCGCGCCCGCGGGCGAGTTGAAATGTGTCGCCCAGGTGCGGTTGCGGTTGCGTTCCCACGGGCGGAATGAAATGTGTCGCCCAGTTGCGGTTGCGGTTGATCGCCCGCGGACGGGTCGAAATGTGTCGCCCAGTTGCGGTTGCGCGGCGCTGCGCGCCCGCGGGTTTGAAATGTGTTGTTCAAGGCGCCCTCCTGACGTTCAGTCAGTCAATTAGTCAGTCAGTCAGTCACCGGCGGGCACGGAATTTCACCCGGCTCTGCCGGGAACAAGGCCGCCTCTGCCGGCGGAAGTCGGCGGAAGGCCGGCGGAAGGCCGCGGAAGCAAAAGTCGGTCTCTGAAAAAATGACATTTTTTGTGGGGTTCAGGTTTTCAGAAATCGGCCAAGCGGGCGGCGCCAGAGGTCCCGACCTCTTCCCCAGGGCAGTTTTTCGTCCCAGATCCAGTTCTGATGGTTTCGGGGCGCGGCAACGGCCCCAGGGGCCGAAGTCAAGAGAACATTTTGGGTTGAAGAATCATGCGGTCAGGAATTGTGGCTCATAGCGTGTCGCGCCGCTAGTTTTGGCCCGCCACGCACCACGTTTCAGCGCAACGCGCTAATCGCGGTCTGGTCCCCGAGCGTCAACGTAACGTCCCCAGCCTTTCCCGTCACCCCGCCCTGCGGAGCGGAGCGATACGCCATCAGCTCGCAGGGCACAGCGTGTCGCCAGGGCCGCCGCCGCGACATGCGAAGCAAAAGTCCCAGACCAGGCCTCAGAGACTTGGGGTTCCCAGTCGTCCGATGTTTTTTCCCAACCGTTCTGTGGTGTGGGGTCCTCGTTTTGAAGAGACAGCGCGCGTCTCCTATCCTCTCCTTCTTCTTCCTCCTCCTCCTCCTCCTCTTCCTCTTCCTCCTCCTCCCTCCTCCCATCCCTGCCTCTGTTCTCCGCATGCCCACCATTTTAGCACACCCCTCACATGTCTCGTGGCCCCATAGGGAGCTCCACCCAAGGTCCCAGTGGCGCAGTTCGCATGCGTCCCAGCCACAAATTTCAGCACACCCCTCACACGTTTCGTGGCCCCCTTGGGGAGCTCCACCGAAGACGCCAGTGGCGCAGTTCGCATGCGTCCCGGCCACCCACTTCGGCACACACACACATACACACACACACACGTTTCGTGGCCCCATGGGTAGCTCCACCGCCGAACGTCCCAGTGGCGCAGTTCGCATGCATCATGGCCATTCATTTCGCCACACCCTCACACGTTTCGTGGCCCCGTAGGGAGCTGCACCCAAGGTCCCAATGGCGCAGCTCGCATGCGTCCCGGCAACCCATCTCGGCACACCCCTCACATGTTTCGTGGCCCCCTTGGGGAGCTCCACCCAAGGTCCCAGAGGCGCAGTTCGCATGCGTCCCGGCCACCCATTTCGGCACACCCCTCACATGGTTCGTGGCCCCCTTGGGGAGCTCCACCTAAGGTCCCAGTGGCGCAGTTCGCATGCGTCCCAGCCACCAATTTTGCGACGCCCTCACACGCTTCGTGGCCCCATGGGGAGCTCCACCCAAGGTCCCAGCGGCGCAGTTCGCATGCGCCCCGGCTACCCATGTCGGCACATTCCTCGCATCTTTCGTGTCTTTTTTTGGGAGCTCCACCTAAGGTCCCAGTGGCGCTGTTCGCACGCGTCCCAGCCACCCATTCCTGCACACCCATCACATGATTAGTGGCCCCATAGGGAGCTCCACCGAAGACGCCAGTGGCGCAGTTTGCATGCGTCCCAGCTACCCATTTCGCCACACCCCTCACATGTTTCGTGGCCCCATAGGGAGCTCCACCTGAGGTCCCAGTGGCGCAGCTCGCATGCGTCCCAGCCACTCATGTCGCCAAACCGTGACACGTTTCGTGGTCCCCTTGGGGAGCTCCACCCAAGGTCCCAGTGGCGCAGCTCGCATGCGTCCCAGCCACCCATCTCGGCACACCCCTCACATATTTCGTGGCCCCCATGGGGAGCTCCACCCAAGGTCCCACTGGCGCAGTTCGCATGCGCCCAGGCTACTCATGTCGGCACACTCCTCGCACCTTTCGTGGCCCCCTTTGGGAGCTCCACCGAAGGCGCCAGTGGCTTTGTTCACATGCGTCCCGCACCACCCAGTACGGCGTTTCGTGGCCCCGCAGGGAGCTCCACCGAAAACGATATTTAGGAATGCGATTTTCACAGCTGCATATGGTTGGGTCCTTCGCTGTTGCATCAACAAAAATTGGGTCCCTGGAAGTTCCGACCCTGTCCCCAGGGACCAGGGGGAGGGGGGAAGGCTTCCTAGAAGGAGGCTGCTTCTTGGAGGACGCTGGCCTCCCATCTTCAGACAAGGCCCGCGGCTTCTGAAAGGCAGGGGTGCTTCTCAAGAAGCCTGGCAGTGAGGGCATTGGATGTGGAACCGCTGGAGAAGGAGTCCAGGATCTGGCAGCCGGTGGAACTCAGTCGTGCACTGGCCATGGACATCACAGCCGTCTCATCTGATGAGGAGCCCTTCCGGGCCTGAGGCCTCCAGGGCCCGTTCCTGAACCAACTCCCCCACCGCACCCCCTCCCGGCAACCCCCCTCTGCGCGCGGCCGAGGCAGGCCTCGCCCCGCCCCGCCTCGACGTCCCGCCGGCGCCCCCTGTGACTGAGCATCGTTGAACCGATCCCTATCGCCACCGGTCGTGGCCTGGGCCCCACTGGCCGATTTAATTAACCCCCTGGATGGCGATCTGTGGTTCAGGCCGTTCCGTTCGGGTTTCGAGGGGCACATCCCCAACTGGGTGGTGAGATGGTGGGGCTCGGCATGGGGCTGGAGATGGGGTTGGGGATCGGCGGAAGGATGCTGAGCGCGCACTACACCTCGCGAGACTGCATCGGCCACGCGGCTGGGGCAGGCAAGCGCCAGGAGCCAAGAAACTCCTCGACGCGAATCTGTGCACCTCATTTTCTCGCGCGTGCAGTCGCGCAGCCGCGCGAGCCTCCGCCAGGTGCTCGGCCTGTGCGCGCGCCCTCCTGCGCGGCGCCCGCGCCGCGCCCGCGCCGGCCCTGCGCGCCTCCTTTGGTGGGCCCCGCCTCGCCCGGGGTGCTCCGCGCCGGCGCTCCGCGAGGCGCAGCGGCACGGCCACGGCGGAGGCGCTGGGCGACGCCATCCCCGGACAGCCAACGTCTTGAGACAGCCAAGGCCAAGGCGTATATGTTTTGGAGTCCCTCGCCCAGCCCCAGAGGGAGCTCCACCGAAGGCCCCAGTCGCGCCACCCAGCACGGCGGTCCGTGGCACCACAGGGAGCTTCACCGAAGGCCCCAGTTGTTGTGATCGCATGCGTCTCCCCCTGCCTAGTTCGGCACACCGCTCACGCGCTTCGTGGCCTCATGCGCTCCACCAAAGGCCTCAGTGGCGACGTTTGCATGCGTCCCCCCACCATTTCGGCACACCCCTCACGCGCTTCGTGGCCCCATGAGGAGCTTCACCGAAAGCCCCAGTGACGAACCGAAGGTCCCAGTGGCGACTTTCCTTCGCAACGCGGCCCCGCTCCAGTTCGACACACCTCTCACACCGTGCTTGACCCCACTTGGAGCGCCACCGAAGACCCGAAGGTGTAACACGAATGCGCGCGAAGCTAAGGAGAGATGCTTGTAGTGAAAACCATCCGCCCTCCTATCCGTGTGGCTGCTACAACCATTTGAGACGAACGTGCGCGGCGCAAAGGCTATGATTCACTGTTGGGAACGCCCCGCCCTCAATCCTCGTAGTTGCTGGAGAATGTAAGCCTCAAGGCCCATAAGCTGTTAGGGAGTAGCAGGAGAAACCCTCGCCCTAATGATACGTCTTGTGGTCAGGCGAGGATGGCGCCCCAGAAGGAAACGTGATAGAGGAGGGGGAGGAGGAGGAGGAGGAGGAGGAGGAGGAGGAGGAGGAGGAGGAGGAGAATGAGGAGGAGGACGAGGAGGCGAGGACGAGGACGAGGAGGAGGAGGAGGAGGAGGAGAACGAGGAGGAGGAGGAGGAGGAGGATCAGGTGGAGGGGGAGGAGGAAGAACATGACGATAAGACGGAGGAGGCGAAGGAGGAGGAGGAGGAGGAGGAGGAGGAGGAGGAGGAGGAGGAGGAGAGGGACCGCACACCCGCGACGGCGCGCGGCAGTTCTTCTTCGCGATCACCGGCCTTTTGCGGGGCCTGACCGCCGAGCAGTCTTGGCCAGCCCCGCCGCCGCCCCCCCCCCTACCCCACCCCACCAGTGCCAGCGGTGCGGCGTGGCCGCAGCTTCTCGAAGCCACCCCTGTCCCAGAGGACAAGATGATGATGAGGAGGAGGAGGATAAGGAGGAGGAGGAGGAAGAGGAGGAGGAGGAGGAGGCGGAGACGGAGGCGGAGACGGACACGGAGAAGCAGGAGGAGGAGGAGGAAGAAGAGGAGGAGGAAGAGGAGGAGGAGGGGGAGGAGGAGGAGGAGGAGGAGGAAGAGGAGTGGGATGAGGAGGAGGATGAGGAGGAGGGAGAAGTAGGAGGCGGAGGAGGAGGAGGAGGAGGAGGAGTTGGATAAGGAGGAGACGGAGAAGGAGACGAATCATCATAATAATAATCGTAGTAATAATATTGATAAGGATAATATTACTACTAATAACAATAAGTATAGTGATACTGGTACTGCTATTAATAATACAAACACTACTACTACCAATAATAATAATACGAATAAGAATAATAATGATGATATAACACTAGCAATCACGATCATCATACTAATCACAATCACCATCATAATCATAATCATAACAATACTGCGACTAATAATAATAGCCATAATACTAATAGCAATACTACGAAGAATAATATTAATAATACGAATAAAAATAATAATTACCTCAGTGCGACCCTACCTAGAAGTTGGAGCCCCCCCCTAGGAAAGCAGCATTAGCTGCTATGCTATGCCATGCTATGCCGCGCTATGCTATGATATGCTATGCTATGCTATGCCATACTGTGCTATGCTATGCTATGCTATGCTAAACTAAGCTATGCTATGTCATGCTGCGCTGTGCTATGCTATGCCATGCTAAACTGCACGATGTTATGCTATGCTATGATATGATATGGTATACTATGCTATGCTATGCTATGCTGCGCTATGCTATGCTATGCTATGCTAAACTGCGCTATGCTGTGCTATTATATGCTGTGCTATGCTGCGCTGTGCTATGATGTGCTGTGCTGTGCTATGCTATGCTATGCTGCGCTATGCTATGCTGTGCTATGCTATGTTATGCTGTGTTGCGCTATGATATGCTGCGCTACGCTATGCGATGCTGTGCTCTGCCATGCTAAAACTCAGCGCAGCTAAGATGAATATACGCTAGACTAAGATAAACCTGAGCTACTATGAAACTAAGCTAAGCTAAGATGAAGTAAGCTAAGTTATGATGAGGTAAACAACGCTACGCTAAGGGGACGTAACTGGGGGAACCGCGGGGCGGATGCCGGGGGAACCGCCCGGGGCGGTTTCCACTGCCCGGCCCTTTAAGCACACAGGGTAAGAACCCCTCTAGGCAGAGCCTAGGTAGGGAATCAATAATAATAATAATAATACAAATAATAACAATGATGATCATACTAATAATAATAGTAAGAAGAAGACGAATAAGAAGAAGAAGACGACTGATAATACTAATACTAATAATAATAACAATAATAATGAGGAGGAGGAGGAGGCGGAGGAGAAGGAGGAGGAGGAGGAGGCGCGGAGGAGGAGGAGGACGAGACGATGAGGAGGAGGACAGGCGGAGAATAATGATATGGAAGGAGGGATTTGAGGGAGGGAGGAGGGTTGAGGTTGGAAGGAGGCGGGAGGAGGAGGAGGAGGAGGAGGAGAGGAGGAGGAGGAGGAGGAGGAGGAAGAGGGGGGGGTGACGGGGGGGCATGATAAGGCCAGCAAGAGAGATGTAAAGATGGAGAGAGGAGGAGGAGGAGGAGGAGGAGGAGGGGAGGAGGAGGAGGAGGTGGAGGGGAGGAAGGAGGGGGGGGTGGAGGAGTGGTGGAGTGAGAGTAGGAGGAGGGAGTAGGAGGAGAGGAGGAAGAGAGGGAAGGATGCGGGGGGAGGAGGAGGAGGAGGAGGAGGAGGAGGAGGAGAGATGAGGAGGAGTGAGGAGGAGGAGGAGGAGAGAGAGGAGCAGGAGCAGGAGCAGGAGGAGCAGGAGCAGGAGCAGGAGGAGGAGGAGGAGGAGGAGGAGGAGGAGGAGGAGGAGGTGGAGGAGGAGGAGGAGGAGGAGGAGGAGAAGGAGGAGGAGGTGGGGCGAGCGGAGGAGGAGGAGGAGGAGGAGGAGGAGGAGGAGGAGGAGGAGGAGGAGGCACCGCGAGCTCAAATCCTAGCATTCTGGTGCTGCCTTTCTCTTCCGATCACTGTGATTCATTATACATTTCATGTTCCACGTTGCACCCGCGGGCGCTGCTGCATCATGGTTTCTCTCCCTGCTGCTGCTGCCGCCGCTCGCGAAGATCTGTTCATTGTCTACAACCCTCAGAGTGTCGTCGAAACAGCTCGATGGGACGACATCGACGACCAGTTCCGGAGTGCTCTGGTGGTCGCTCTTCCAGGTACGGCCGCTCGTTCTGGCCTCTCCCGCTCCTCTCGCCCGTCGTTCCCCCCTCCTGCCGTCTTTCCCTTGTCGTCGTCGTTGCTGGGGTGTGGCAGGGAAAACGTATGTCTGCGAGTATTCTAGGGCGGCAGCTGCACCGCCGTCGTTCGCCCTTCCCCTCCTCCCCTTCGCCCTCCCCCCTCCGAGACGGGTGCAGCGCCGGCTTCGGTTCGCCCCTGCGCGGCCGCTGACAGACCTGTCGGATCTGGCATTCCCAGGTGGCCCGCTGACGGGGCGCCCGTGCGGCCGACCCCTGCCGCTTCTCCCAGGCTGGGAGGTGCGTGGGAGCCGCGGGTGCAATCGTGAAGTGCTATCATATAGCGCAGTTCCTCCAGAACTCCAGCAGAGAGGCGGATGCGAACGCTGTTTAGATACCGCGTGCAGACATTCGTTTTGGAGATCCTTGCGAGGCGTGTGAGTGAGTGAGTGAGTGAGTGAGTGAGTGAGTGAGTGAGTGAGTGAGTGAGTGAGTGAGTGAGTGAGTGAGGAGGAGGAGGAGGAGGAGGAGGAGGAGGAGGAGGAGGAGGAGGAGGAGGAGGATTGCCACGGCTGTCGTTTACGGCACGGGTAATGTTTTACCGCTTCGTGCCCTAACAATGGTGGCACGCCATGCTCTGGATGCAACACTTGTGAAGATGCGGCTACTACCACGCCTATGCTGTGCAACACTCGCGCCAATGCCCTCCACTGCGCGGCCTGGAGGAGGAGGAGGAGGAGGAGGAGGAGGAGGAGGAGGAGGAGGAGGAGGAGCTGGAGGGGGAGGGGGAGGAGGAGGCGGAGGAGGAGGAGAGGAGGAAGGAGACAGGAGGAGACAGAAGGAGACAGAACAGAACGAGGGATTGAGGGGAGGGAGGAGGGTTTGAGGTTGGAGGGAGGCGGAGGTGGAGGAGAGAGGAGGAGGAGGAGGAGGAGGAGGCGGGAGGAGGAGGGAAGAGGGAGGTGGCGGGGAAGAGGGAGGTGGCGGGGGGGGGCATTGGAGGAGGCAGCAGGAGAGATGAACAGATGGAGGGGGAGGAGGAGGATGGAGAGAGGAGGAGGGAGAGGAGGAGGAGGGGGGAGGGAGGGGCGGAGGAGGAGGAGGAGGCGGAGGAGGAGAGGAGGAGGGAGGAGGAGGAGGGGGGCGAAATATATATATTATATAGAGGAGAGAGAGAGACGAGAGTGAGAGAGAGAGAGAGAAAAAGAAGAGAGAGAGAGAAAAAAAAAAGAGAGAGAGAGAGAGAGAGAAAGAGAAGAGAGAGAGAGAGAGAGAGAGAGAAAGAGGAAATAATTGAGGAGGAGAGAGAGAGAGAGAGAGAGAGAGAGAGAGAGAGAGAGAGGGAGAGAGAGAGCAGCAACCGCAGGAGAGGGAGGATCGTGAGCAACAGGATCTGCTAGATGGGAGGCAGGGGGCAGAAAACAGGATGGAGAGGGATATGAAGACCATGATGAGGAGGATGACGGGCGCGAGCTGCGGGACAGGCAGGGGCGGCGGGAGCAGGACAAGGGGAACGATTATGATGAAAGCGAGGATGACGATGCTGAGGATTAGCATGCGCATGCGGGTGAGGATAAGGCGAGCACGATGAGGAGAAAAGTGGAAGCGGAGGAGGGCGAAGGGCGGAGACAGATGGGGGGAGGAAAGGAGGAGGAGGAGGAGGAGGAGGAGGAGGAGGAGGAGGAGGAGGAGGAGGAGGAGGAGGAACAAGAAGAGGAGAAGGAGGAAGAGGAGGATGGAGGAGGAGGAGGAGGAGGCGGAGGAGGATGAGGAGGAAGAGGAGGAGGAGGCGGAGGAGGGAGAAGGAGCAGGAGGAGGATAATGAAGAGGGAGAAGCGGAGGAGGAGGAATATGAAGAGCAGGAGAACCAGAGGGATGAGCGGGGCGGAGGACGATGATGAGGAACAGGAGAAGACGGACGCGAGGACGAGCAGGGGGGAGGCGCCGAAGGAGAAGGCATAAGGCGAAATACTACTACGTAGAGCTGAAAAGAAGGCGCGCGAGAAGGCAGGAGAGCCGCGGTCAGGACTACTGTGCGATGGACAGAAGAGGAAGCACGCAATATATAACAGCTACGAGGGCGCGGTCTTCTACTGGAACAAAGCAAGTACTTCACAACCGTGAGGCTGACCAGCAAGGTTATCATGCATTAACCCCGCTCAAGGGACAAAACAAGAAACACGACCCCAATTTGCGCTGTACCAAGTATGGGCACGAAGGAAGAATATCTGAATCCACGGCGTGGTCGAGACAGTTATGCGGTCAAGAATCGAGGCGCTTCGGCCAACATCGGAAGGAGTCAGACTGGATCCAAATGGTTATCAATCACAATGAACGCACCCTTAGACCTGGCAGTTATTGACACGTTCTCTCACGTTACCGATATGACAAACGTGGCAAGGAGGTGGAGTGTTCGAAATGTGGCCAAGTATCTCCCAAATACCGCTGGGCTCAGTTCGCCGCTGCGATCTGTGGCGGGCGCTAACATCATTCCGAATCTCCGCAAGGGCGTCGTCCCCTGCCGCCGGCCCCCCTTCTATCAGACTGGGACATATCAGAGTCGCGTCAGCGCGTCTCGGCACTGCCTTGGCGCATCTGAAAAACATCATGCGGGGGCGGACAAGTACCATCAGCGCATATTGAGACGTTGGCGTTATCGAAGACGCCCGCGGCGAATCCCCGCCGCCTCCCCGACTTCTAGATTCGCCCGTGTGGGCGAGTGTTGTGGCAAGAACTCTGCCAAGCTATCGGACCATGTGTTCCCCCCAGCCGTTGTGGAAACCCTTCGGGGAACACTTGGGAAATGATGGCGGGGAAGATCAACAGGAGGCGGAGGAGGAGGTGGAGGTGGAAACGGAGGAGGAGGAGGAGGAGGAGGAGGAGGAGGAGGAGGAGGAGAAAGAGGAGGAGGAGAAAAGGAAGAGAAGAAGAAAGAGGAGGAGGAGGAGGAGGAGGAGGAGGAGGAGGAGGAGGATGGAGGAGGAGAGGAGGAGGAGGAGGAGGAGGAGGAGAACGAGGCATCTTGAGAGCCCCTGGGGACATTCTTGGGGCCTCCTGGGAGCTTCCTGGGAGCCTCTTGGGGGCATCTTGGGGACCTCCTTGGGCCTCTTGGGGGCCTTTGGGGGCTTCTCGGGGGCCTCCCTGGGTAGGCAGGAGAAGCTCCGCTGGACCGTGACCCTGGGCATGGGGCGGAGCTTTGGCAAGGGAATTGGGCCAGGGCACGTGACGCAAGCAACATACTCTGCCGCCACCCGCAGAGCTGACGAGTACACTAGGAAAAAGCTGCCTCCCAGGGACGGCGCAACAACATACCCCAGCACCAAAGTAGAAGAGAACCGCCGTGCCAAAGACAAGCATCAACTCCATCGCAACCCGTGGCCCGAGGTGTCCTCCCGCGGGGGCATCCTCGGGCCTTCCAGCTCAACGTGGCGACGCTGTGCCTGGAGTGTTCCCCACAGGAGGGGGCTCCCCCGGGCCTTCGACATGTCCTGCCTCACCTGCACCTCGACACCCGCGAGAAACTCAAGAGACCTGGCCTTGGCGAAACGTGGAAGACTATACTTGACTTGCCTCCTCCCGGCCCAGGCTTCGGGCCTCGTCTCAGGAGCGTCGGCGCCCGCCCGCGCTGCGCCTGGCCCCGCGGGGCGCCAGGAGCAGGGCGAGGGAGCTGTACCTGCCGCTGTACACCCGGAACATCGGCTTCTGGACGCGAGCGGCCAGCAGGGAGGGAGGGAGGGAGAGAACAGCAGGAGGAGGGAGGAGCGAGGGAGGGAGGAGGGAGGGGGCAGGAGGAAGAGGAGGAGGAGGAGGAGGAGGAGGAGGAGGAGGAGGAGGAGGAGAGGAAAAGGAGGAAGGAGGGGAGGAGGAAGAGGAGGAGGAGGAGGAGGCGAAGGAGATGAGGGGAGGAGGCGAACGAAGGAGGATGATGAGGAGGAGGAGGAGGAGGAGGAGGAGGAGGAGGAAGGAGGAGGAGAGGGACAGGAGGGGATGCGGGAGGAGGGAGAGGGCAGGGGGAGTGGAGGACGAAGAGGAGAGGCATGGATGGGAGGCAGGGAGGAGGGAGGAGGGAGGAGGGAGGAGCGAGGAGGGAGGAGGAGGAGGAGGAGGGAGGAGGGAGGAGGGGAGGAGGGGGAGGAGGGAGAGGGGCAGGAGGGAGGCGGAGGAGGGAGGAGGGAGCAGGAGGGAAGGCAGGGAGGAGGGAGGAGGGGAAGGAGGAGGAGGGAGGAGGGAGGAGGGAGGAGGGAGGAGGGAGGAGGAGGAGGGAGGAGGGAGGAGGGCCAGGAGGGAGGATGGGAGGAGGAGGAGGGAGGAGGAGGCAGGGAGGGATGGGAGGAGGGAGGAGGGAGGAGGGAGGGAGGGACGGGAGGGAGGGAGAGGGAGGGAGCGGAGGGAGGAGGAGGGAGGGAGGGAGGAGGGAGGGAGGGAGGGAGGAGGGAGAGAGGGAGGTGGGAGGAGGGAGGATGGAGAAGGGAGGAGGATTCTGGATTGTGACGGCGGCGCTGCAGCTAAGCAAAACATTCCGGGACAGCGAGAGATATTCGGCCATGGGCGCCAAGTGTGACAGGAAGGCACACGTGCGTATCTAGGCGTGGACTCGACACAGGGGCAGGTGTGGCATAGGCTAGGAGAGTGAGACGCAGTAAAGCCAGCAGCCCTGCCAAAGGCAGGAGACTGTAGCTGCTAGCTTCTTCCGGACTGAAGAGAGGCTCCGCATGCCGCACCGTCTACGGGGGAAGCGGGAGTCCACAATTTGTTCAGCACAAGCGGCATCGACGTCAATGGGCGGAGGCCGGCGGTGGAGGCGGAGGAACACAGGCACGTCCTATGAGCCTCCCAGGGTTATTTCAGGAGCCTCGGGGGACCCTCGCCATAGCCTCTCAATGATACCTCAAGTGTCTGTCATGCGCCTCCCAGGACCGTGTCAGGAGCATCTCAGGACTCCCTCGGGACCCTCCCTGGGCCTTCTCAGAATCCTCCTGCTAGTGGAGTGTTTTGCTGGAAGAAGTTGCTTTCGGTTTGCGGACGGGCCGTTTCCGCAGTGCGCATCTTGCGTTACCACCGCGAATGCGTCTTTCGAACGCTTCCAGCAGTCAGACGGATGGATGGACGGCGTGCTGTTTTCAAAATGTGTCCCTCTCCCTAGAGACGCGCACATTCGCCATACAAGTACGCAGCAGCTATACGGATACTGGGGGGCTCCCATTCAAAGTTTGACTGTGGCTTGAGGCTTTCTCGAATGGCTATCCAAAATCTAAATGGCACAACATCTATACGGATGGATGTTGCAACATGGGGTTGTCGTTCGACGCGAATTTCGCTCAGCGGTCGTATTGGTGCTTCCAGTGGGCGTGGCAGTTCCCAGAACCCCTCTGGACCCCCCCTGAAGGTTTTTTCTATGGGGTTGGGGTGGTTGGGGGTTTTCCCCCCAGGAACTCCCCCTCAAGGGTGGTGTTTGGGGGGGTCAGGGGGTAGTGGTGGGTTTTCACCCCAGGGCCCCCCACCTCAAGGGTGGTGTTTGGGAGGGTCTGGTGGTGGTGGTGTTTTTTTCCTCCAGGAACCCGCCCACCATGCTTTTTTTTAGGGGGGGGGGGTCGGTGGGGGTGATGGGTGTTCCCCCCAGGAACCTTCCCTCAAGAGGGGTTCTCAGAGGAGTTATGGGAGTCATTGGGCTTTTCCCTCGGAATCCCCCCTCAAAGCTTTTTGAGGGGGTCGTGAGGGGGGAAGGGGGGGGACTTAAGGGAGGTTTTGGAAGCGTTTGGGGGGGGGGACGTCCCTCCGAGAATCATCCTTCAAGTGTGGTTTTTGAGGGATTAGGGGGGATTGCTGGGGCTTCCCCACTCAAGGGCGATTTTTGGGGAGGGCTTGGGGGGGAGGGGTACCCCTTGGACCCTCACCATCAAGGAAGGTTTTTCGGAGGGTTTGGGGTGGGGGGGTCCCCCTGGGAACTCCCCCAAGGACGGTTCCTTGGAGAGGGTTGAAGGGGGTTGGTGGGTCCCCCCCCAGAAACCCCATTCAACGGGAGTTCTTGGGGGGTATCGGGGGGAGTAATTCCAGGACCCCCCCTTCATGGGGGGGGTCACCCCCGGGCCCCCCCCCTCTCAAGGGTTTTTTCTTTGGAGATTCGGGGGGCCCCAGCGTTCCCCAGCGGCCCAGTGGAACCACCGCCCAGTGCCTCCTCCGCACCGATAATTGTATTCCGAGTCGCACCGCGCCCCTCCTCCCCGCCCCCCATCCCTTCTCTCTTCAGCGTTCCCCCGCGGCCCAGTGGAACTTCCGCCCAGTGCTCTCCTCCGCCCCGACCATCTTATTTCACGTCGCACGGCGCGCCCCGTCCCCGCCCCCCCATCCCTCCATGCCCCAGCGTTCCCCAGCGGCCCAGTGGAACCCCCGCCCGCCGCGTGCCCCCTCCGCCTCCGTTTCGGGCCCCCGGGGAGTTCTTCGGATCTTCTGCTGACTTTTTGGGTGTTTGTTGGAGGCCTCCTGGGAGCATGTTGGAAGTCTTGGAGGCCATCTCGCGGGGGGGGGGGGCGTGAAGCCTACTCGAGCTCGCCCTGTCAAGCCCATCTTGCGGCCCTCGTTGGGCTCTCCTTCTCCGATTTCTCGCACCCTGTATCCCTCTCCCGTCCTCCTCCTTCACCTCCTCCTCCTCCTCCTCCTCCTCCTCCTTCCCCCTCCCTTCTGTGCAAGAGCCATGGCACGCGTGCCATTTGATATTTTCTTTCTGTTGGGCGCCCCAGACCCTCCCCTCAAGATGATTGATTCTCCCAGGCACGGGGAAACCCGCCGACCAAAAATCGTGGGGGTCTATGGGGGGGTTTTCCAGGGGGATTCGGAGAACTGCCACACCGGCGTCGGTGCTTATTAACATTGCCAAGATAGGGCAGTTTCCTGTTCCAAAGGGGGAGGCCCGCTTGAATAGCAGTCAGATGCGGCGCTCGTCTTTCGTGGGGGCGGTACAACGAGCGAACATTGAACCCGGTTGGAACTGAAACGATGGTGATTTGGGACTTGGGGATGTGTTGCAGCATTGTTGGTGCATTTGGGGTCAACTCTGGTCCCTCCCCGCCCCTCGAAACTCGACGCTGCCGGTTGTAACACCACCTATGGTCCAAGCTTTCGTCCCCCTCCTCATCACTCCGCCCTGTCACGCGACACACGCCGAGATGCGTATTCAGGGCGGGCGTGCATTTTATGATAATTGCAAAAGTTGCAGGGATCTCCTTTTGAAAATGGGGCTCTCGCGTCAGCGCCGCGCAGATTCGTTTCAAATGCTTTCAGCAGCTACAATGATGGAGGGCGTGGTTTTCAAAACGGAGCTCTCGCTTGAGACGTCGGCTCCTCCTCCTGCTCCTCCTCATCCTCCTTCCTCCCACTACTACTCCTCCTCGTCCTCCTCCTCCTCCTTCCCCTTCTCCTCCCCCTCCCCCTCGTCCTCCTCCCCCTCCTCCTCCCCCTCCCCCTCCTCCTCCTCCTCCTCCTCCGCCTCCTCCTCCTCCGCCTCCTCCTCTGCCTCCTCCTCCTCCTCCCCTCCTCCGACTGCGCATCATTTCCTCCTCCTCCTCCTCCTCCTCCTCCTCCTCCTCCTCCTCCTCCTCCTATTCCCTCGTCCGAATCAGTAAACCTGTACGACAGTTCTATGGGTGGGCGTCGGTTCCTCTTCAAAGCAGGGCGCTCGCGGGACACACCGTTGGACGTCAATGGTCCTACAGTGAAGGCATCACGGCCTGCGCCGCCGACCCTGAAGGGGGACGAAGACGACGACGACGACGACCAACGACGACGACGACAACGACGACGACGACGGCGACGGCGACGACGACCACGACGACGGCGATGGCGACGACGACGGCGATGGCGACGGCGACGGCGACGGCGACGGCGACGGCGACGGCGACTGACGACGATTGACGACGACGACGACGACGACGACGACGACGACGACGACGACGACGACGACGACGACGAAGACGACGGCGGCGGCGGCGACGACGACGACGACGACGACGACGACGACCACGACGACGACGACGACGACGACTACGACTACGACGACCACGACGACGGCGACGGCGACGGCGACGGCGACGGCGACGGCGACGACGGCGACTGAAGTTTGCCTCGTGGGGCCCTCCCACGAGTGTTCTCGTGGGCCTCTTGGGGCGTCTTGGAGTCCTCTTGGCCTGTCTGGGCGCTATCCTGGGCGTCTTGGACCGATCGTTTGGCGATTTGGGCCCTCTTGGAACGTCATGTGGTTGGGGCACTCTTGGCTTGTCTTGGGGCTTTTTCAGGGGCTGCAGGAACCCGCGGAGGGGATCGTATTCTGACCCGGGACCCCCTCGGGACTTTCCCCGGGAACCCTTTCGGGACCCCGTCGTGACCTTCCTCGGGACCTCCCTTGGGCCGCCCTCCCTCCGGCAGAGAAGGGATCAAAGGAGAGGAACTTCCCTTCGACTTAATTACGACGTTCTTCAATTTCGTTGTTCTTTGATTTCCTCGGGGTTGGGGGGGACGACGACGACGACGACGACGACGACGACTAGGACGACGACAACGACGACAACTCAACGGAAAAAGCGTCTCATATACGCCGATGGGTCGGCGGATTTTCGCATTGCTTATAGCTCGCTCGAAGGGTGCAAGGCAACTCCTCGTCAGAACAAGGGATCCCGTCTCAATGACATGCCCCAAAAGTGATCGACCTTCAAGCGGCCGCTGTTTGTGGTGAGAAGAGAGAGGGCGAGAGAGAGAGAGAGAAAGAGAGAGAGAGACTTGCAGGGACTCGCGAGGAGGGAACTTGGGACGGGAGGGTGTATAGCAGCATCGCTGATGCATCCTTGCTTTACTCTGGTCCTCCTCCTCCTCTTCGTCCTTCTCCCCCCCCTCCTGGGTCACTCATTCAGGTTTCGGGCCATAGCTCGGGTCTCTGGCGGCCGTTCGGGACGATCCCCGGAACGTTGGAACGCGTCCCGAAGTTGGAAAGCCGCCGAGAAACACCCGTTAACCTCGAACCTCGGCCTCCTCCTTCTCCCCCCCTCCACGTCTCCCCTCCTCCTCCTCCTCCTCCTTCTCCCCCCCCCACGTCTCCCCTCCTCCTCCTCTCCTCCTCCTCCTCCTCCTCCTCCTCCTCCTCCTCCTCCTCCTCCTCCTCCTCCCCTCTCCTCCTCCTCCTCCTCCTCCTCCTCCTCCCCTCCTCCTCCTCCTCCTCCTCCTCCTCCTCCTCCTCCTCCTCCATCCTCCTCCTCCATCCTCCATCCTCCCCTCCCTCCTCCCTCCTCCCTCCTCCTCCTCCTCCTCCTCCTCCTCCTCCCTCCTCCTCCTCCTCCCTCCTCCTCTTCCTCCTCTGCCTCCTCCCCAACTCTAGGGCACGGCGGCGCTGTGCCTGCGGGCGGTGCCGGCGCCTGCCACTGGCCTGTCCGCGGGCCTCCGCGTGCAGAGCGCGCGGCGGCACCGTGCCCTCGGAGGGCGCCCGCGCTCCTCACCGGCCCGCCGCTGCGGCCCCGTCTTCCCCGGGGAGGCGTGGGATCCTCATCGCACCCCTCTGCTGCCTCCTGTTACTGGGAGGAGGAGGAGGAGGAGGAGGAGGAGGAGGAGGAGGAGGAGGATCCGCACGCTTCCGCCGCGTCCTGGCGACTCGCCCTGGCGCCCGCCGGCTCGCCCGCTCGCTCCTCGCAGTGCCCGCGTGGCCGGGGCCCGGCCGGTGCGATGCTCCCGCCCCGGCCGCAGCGCCGCGCCCACGGCCGCCCGCCGCCAGGATCCCGGCCCAGATGGTCCAGTTTCTGTTCGTGGACCCCGCGTACCAGGTCGCCCGCTGTTGGGGCTGTGATGTTCCGGTCTACGTTAGCCTTGCTCAGCAGAGAGAAGTTCGAGCACCAGGGAAGTACCGAAGCTCGAGGGTTTTCATGTGTCGGGCCCTGGGAGACACTCGTCCGACACCGTTTCGAGACTGTTTCGACACTCTTTCGACACTTTCCGGGTGCTCGAAATTGTTTCTGGGATGTGGTCCGTAAGTGCGATGGGAGCAACATAATGTTGCGGGCGGCCACGGTCGGCATCGCCCAAACATCAGAGTAAGGAGGCCGAACGGTCATACACCATCCCTGGGTGCATGGCTGAAGTGGGATCCCGCGGCATAGATTGTGCTCGTTGTCGTCGTCCTCGCCCGCGAGCGACCCACCCGCGACCCATCCGCGACCAGCCCCCCGACCAACCCCGCGACCCACCCCGCGACCCACCCGCGGCCCGCACGCGACCCACCCATCTTGCTTCGACGAAGATCCCGCGCCTGCGGCAGGCTCCCTGTGCCGCTTGCGGCGGGCCTCTTCAGAGCCTCGCAGACTGCCGACCTCGCCGCGGCCTCCTCACTCCTGTCCACGGCCGCGGGGGCCATGGTGTACTTACGCTGCGTGCGCGTCGGCCTCCCGGGGGGCTGCGCGCGCGCCCGGAAATCCCACGGGATGTCCTCGGTGGCAGGCGCTCTCTGGCTACGCTGCCTGGGTAACGATACAGTCGGGGCCCTGAAGAAGGAACCCTTTTCGTTGGGGAGGGGCTCCGCGTTCCTGAAGTGTTTCGCAGCTTGCCTCAGGTTTTCCTTAGGTTTCCGATGGGAAATCGAAGTTTAACTTACGGAAAATAGGGGCCTCGTTCCTTATTTAGGGTTCCTTAGGTCAAGATCCTCACTGTACACTGGATGACAGCATGGTTGTGCTCTGTGCTCAGTGCAGACGTGCGCCTCCAATGGGGAGCGAGCGCATCTGCAGTTCGGGCGTGTGCCTCCACGGGTGGCGGTCAAGACGGGGCGATGACTACGAGCTTGTTTGTGGCCTCTGGCGTGCACCGGCCGTCACTCGGGCCGAACGTCCCCCGCTCGGAGGGCCGTTCGGGGCCCTCTGGGGGCGGCTTGGGGGCCTCCTGGTCTTGGGCCGTACTGAGGCTATTTGGGGAATCTTGGGGGGGGGCTCTTGGGCCGAGTCGGGGCCCTCTTGGGCCGTCTGGCCTCTTGGGGTGTTCTTGGCCCGTCTTGGGGCCTTCCTCGCTTCGAGAAAGTGATTGCCCAGAAGCGCCCAGGAGCGCCTGGAACGCGGGGCTGCGGGCCTCTTGAGGAATTCCCAGGACTGAGGATGGAGGACTCGAACGACTTGGGAGCACTTCAGCTCGCGCGCCTCAGGGCACGGTGGCGGGCCTTGCAGGGAGAGGCATGGAGGAGGTGGAGGAGGAGGTGGAGGAGGAGGATGAGGAGGAGGAGGAGGAGGAGGTGGAGGAGGAGGTGGAGGAGGAGGAGGACAAGGAGGAGGAGTAGGGGGAGGATGTGTTCGACGGTGAAGGGATGGAGGAGAGAGACCCAGTCGAAAGGCTTTCAGATTTGATCCCCCTGCCACTCGGGAGAACCCGCAATGGATTTCTCTTCGTGTGCGAGCAGAGGCTGCGGCCGAGGGCCAGGCCACGTGCCCCGCCCCGCCGAGGACGAATGGGGCCGTCGAGGCTACCACCCTGAAGCGTGGGCTTCTCCTCCTCCTCCTCCTCCTCCTCCTCCTCCTCCTCCTCCACCTCATTATTCTTCTCCTTCCTCTCCTTCCTCCTCCCCCCCCTTTCCTCCCCCTCGCGTCGCCCGCCCCTCCCTCTGCCCCCCCTCCCTTCTCTCCTCCTCCCCTATCCCGCCCCCCCCCCCCTATGCTCCTGCCCCCCCTCCTCCTGGCTGCAGCACCGTCGCGCGCGCTCCGCGCGCGCTCCAGCTCCTGCCTGCCATGGGGCCCAGCGCACAGCCCGCCGGAGGGGCCGCGTGCGGATGCTCGGAGGAGGGGCCCTCGCCCTGGAGGAGGACGCGCTCGTGTCTGAGGTCGCGGTGGGGCCTGATTCCCGGGGCAGTCCCTTGGCAGTCCTGGGGCAGTCCCTTGGCGGTCCTGGGGCCTCGGAGGAGGACGCGCTCGTGTCTGAGGTCGCGGTGGGGCTCGATTCCCGGGGCAGTCCCGGGGCAGTCCTCGAGCAGTCTCGGGGGTCTCTTGGGGACCTCCGGGGCCTCCGAGGCATCTCGGAGCCATGCTCTGTGAACAGAGTTGAGCCCCCAAAGTTCCCCACAATTCTGAAAAAAAGGCGTAGGATTGCTTTGGATTTCCACTGATTTGGTCATCTTGGAGGTCCTGTGTGGGCACTCCGACGGCCTCTTGGGGCCGTCTTGGGGCGGCCGTCGTCGGTCCTCTTAGTGCTCTCGCGGGGCATTCCTGGGCCATCAGGGAGCAACCTTGGGGCTCTCTTGGGGACCTTTCGGGCTTTCAAGGCCTCGGCAACAATGGAGAACTCGAAACACAATATGAAAATCAATCAAATGTTCTTTAGGTCCTTGGTGGGCACTCCAGCCGTCTCCTGGGGCCGTACTGGGGCCCCTCTCTGGCGCTGGGGGCCTCCCGGGAGAGCTTGGGGAGCCCGGAGTGTCCTGGAGAATTTCGTTCTGGATTTCAAGTTTAATTTCTTGCGGAGTTCTTCTGTTGGCCAGGAATGAAGACTACAAACCATTCACGCGAAATTAATTTCAATTTTCGCTCGCCGTTTCGGGGTGCTGCACTGAGAGAAATCCACGCAGAAATCCGCTGCAGCACGTCTGCAAGGCCGGTGCAATGACAAGGCTGTCTGATGTTATCAGGCGAATGAAAAAGTGACACGAACATTAAAATTCTTCACGCTTCGCGTATCCCCACCAGCCCATCTCAAAACAGCAACTCTAGCGAAGCATGCCGACAGTCGTGTTTTTCAGGCGTGTTTCCGCCTGCCCCCGCATATCTCCCCTGTTCCTCCTTCCTCCCGCCTCCTTGTACATCCTCCTTGTGGTGGGAGCGGGAGAAGGACGAGGCGGAGGAGGAGGGAGAGAAAGCGCTCCTCGTGGTTTGAGTCGTTCGGGCTTCTCGTCCTGGTGTGAGTCGTTCGGGCCCTTCTTCCTGGTGTGAGTCGTTCGGGCTCTTCGTGGTGTGAGTCGTTCGGGCTCTTCGTCCTGGTGTGAGTCGTTCGGGCTTCTCGTGGTGTGAGTTGTTCGGGCCCCTCGTCCTGGTGTGAGTCGTTCGGGCCCCTCCTCCTGCCCGTCCAGAAACGACGCCCAGGCGAGTAGAGGGTCGTCCTGATGGGCTTTTCGGCGTCTTGGGTGCCTCGGGGGGGCCTCTTTGGGCCGTTTGGGATCCTCTTGGGGGCCTCCTGGGGGCCTCTTGGGGCCATCTTGGGGCCTCTTGGTGCCTCCTGGGCGCTTCTTGGGGCCATCTTGGAGGAAATCGATCAAAGAAGAGGGGAGCTTTAATTAGCGCTGCCCCCTCAGAAGGCCAAAATGGGGCCAAAACCTTAGTAAAATCAATGATTCTGGCTTGAAAGAAGAGGGGAGCTTTAATTAGCGCTGCCCCCTCAGAAGGCCAAAATGGGGCCAAAACCGTAGTAAAATCAATGGTTTTGGCTTCAAAGAAGAGGGGAGCATTTCCGTCAGTCCCCCCGTCGGGGCCAGAATCCTCGTGAGGGGTGTCGAATTCTAGCCCTCCCAGGGGTCGGAAAAGGACCCTCCAACCACCCGCGAAAGGCCCCCTCCAGGTCCAGGGGGAGGGGGTAGGGGGAGGGGTAAACCCCTCCCCGAAGGGGAAGAAGGGGGGTTGAGAACAAAGAGAGCTCGCTAAACCACTCACGCCCAGAGGGCTGGTGGGATTCGGAGGTCCGCGCGGATTTCTTGGATCCGCGCTGGGCGCCCCCGGCGGCGCCTCCGACGCCGCCCCTGGCGCGCTCCGCGCGCCAGGGAGGGGGGTCCAGCGCGGATCCGAGAAATCCGCGCGGACCTCAGAGTTTTTATGTTTATGCCACTTTGTCGTTCCCCTTATCAGTGCTCGCGCGCCCTTTCGCACGCACACGCGGCCACTATGCAGACGCACGCTTGTTTGCACAGGTAATTATCGCGCCTTGTTCAACTTCAGGCACCATCCGCTGGCGCTGCCGCGCGAATCCGCCGCCGCGCTCTGGGTGCGCATGGGGACAGGAGGGGGCCAGGGGGCTAGGGGGGGGGGGGCGGCGGTGGATTGGGGGGTATGCCATGGAAGCATCCCCAAAAAGCAAGCTTCGTGCAACAAGCGGACGCATGTTCGGTTCGATGTGCGATGGGGGCCCCAAGTATTGCTCCGGAAGAAGCGAATCGAGCCAAATAATCGATTGGCCTGACACATCGACCGCTGCAAGCGCGCGGTGGCTAGCACGTTAGCTCACAGACATGAACATGTGCGAAGGCAGGACGCCTTTCACGCTGTAATCTGGAATTGGCGTCCAACGTCGGCTAGTATTTATACGCGGCCGGGGTAGCCAAGCCGCACGAAACAACGAAAACTCCCACGAGGGAGGAGCATCCAAAGATACACATGCAGACCTCCGTAAACGTGTTGGTTCAAGCCGATATTCAGGGGGTTATGGTCGATCCCCCCTATGCCTTATCTCACAAACCACTAATAAAGGATCTCGTCCGTTCGCCAAGAAGTTCGAGATGCCGACCGCAGGATTCAAATGGCGAGTTATCGGTGGAGTTCTCACAATCGATGCCCTCCTTTCGATCGTGAGCCTGGCTGTTCCGCACTGGAGTCATGCCAGCTACTTCCTGCCCAACGTGGTTGAGTTTGGCATTGATCTCGGATTTGATGTTGGCTTGTGGAGAACGTGTGTTGCGACCCGGCTTGCCGACGGAGACCAGCCTTGGAAATGGACATGCAAGAGCGGCATCTTTGGGTGTGACTTCGGTATGGCGAGCAACAGCAATGTCACGGCGGTATCCGCTTCCGCAACTTCTTGCGGCCTCTTC